AAAGCAATAATAGTGGAGTCTACCCAATGAGGACGCGATGAGAGCCACATGAGGAGGTGCAGCCCCAATCTTCCCAGTGCCTGGCACAGGCGAGTGCTCAGTGTTAACCACAGTAAGCTACCACGCGGAGGTAAGTATCTGCCGCCTCTCTAGCAAGCGTCTGCCATCTTGTAGCTGGCTCTCCGTTTGTTGCTACTGCTAAGAGTGACTGAGAATTCTGAGGCTATGGCCTAGAGTACAATACTACAGAATCCAGAGAATCAGCTCTCAGTCCCAGCTCTGCCACTCACTGGCTGAGACACCAGGGAAGTCCTTTAACACCTCTGAGCCCCTCTACCCTGTCTGACCCTGCCAACTAGTCTGGACCCAGCTGTCTGCAATGTCTCCCACTCACCTGGTTGTCTCCCTACTGTAACGTGGGGTAAAAGAGACTCCTGGCCACATGGCCAGTCAGCAGTTCTCTTTTGGCTGGTGAGTGAGGTTCTCAAGTCAAGAGATCCTAGTCCCTAGGGTCCCTGGTAGAGATCCTAGCCCCAGCCTGCCCCCTTGAAGCCTTACAGTTTCCACAAGAACTCTCGTTTCCATAGACGGCTGCAGGAAGGCGGTCTCTAAAGCTGTGGTACTGGAGCCAGCAGGCCAGCCAGAGCCTGCCCTCTTACCTCCTTTCCTGCCCACTCTTGCCCAGGCTGGGCCCTGTCTCCAATGTTCGCTATCTCTTCTTGTGTGAACTGTCTTGGCCACGATCCCATCTCCTCTTGCACCACATTCCTGAAATGACTTACCCTCTCCCCTTTCTTGGCGGGACATTCGGCTCTGCCACACCACTTCAAGAACTGAGCTTACAAGTCTACTTCTTATCCTGATCTGGCTGTAGAGAACCTATTCACCCCGTCAATCCTGCTAGAGGCCAGTGGAAGGGTATGGTGGTTGAGGCACTGGACTCCCACATGGCTGACTGTAGTTTGAGTCCTGGACCTGGATTACTTTTTTTTTTTTTAGAGATTTTTGCAGTAGGGAGTGTGTGTTCGCCAGAGACAGAGAAAGAGAGACAGAAAGTGAAAAATCACTCCTGGGGGGGATGGCCACACTGCAATCCCCTCTCCTCCATTATCCTCTTAGGATCTTGGGCATGCATGCACACATGCCTGGCATGAGATTTAAGCAGCTGGATCCAGGAGTTGAACTGTGATTGACTACGTGTAAGGCCAGTGACATAACCATTAGACCATCTTCTGGTCCCCCTGGCTTACTTTTGTGCTTTTCC